TATCATTATTATTATCATTATTATTATTATCATTATTATTATTATTATTATTATTATCATTATTATTATTATTATTGTTATTACTATTACTATTACAATTAAACACGATTGTGTGGACTGTGTCCCCCAGCATGACTCAGCGTGAGCGGTTACAGGCGGGGATCGAGTACATGGAGGCGATGAGGGGCACGAGACGTCGCCGGGAGATGGTACCACACAGAGCCAAGCTAGACCTCATCATGGGAGGGAAGCAGATCGAGTTTGAGGAGAGGTAAGGAGGAGTACAACTTTTGAGGAGAGGTAAGGAGGAGCACAATTTGGGGAGTAGACAGGCAAATCCTTCGCCCAAATTCAGGCGCTCCCAAAAAAAAAAAAAAACCGGGAGAAGTGGAGGCATCTGATTAGACTCTCTGTCATACAGCACCCCTACGATTCTGGTCAATTATGGGAACAGTGAAGTGAAGTTAAGTGAAGGGAGTACAGTCCCATTTTAAAGAAAGTGTACGGTAAAAGTTGTCTGAGAGAGTCCCCATTGTCGGGAGGAACTTTGTTGTCGTCTTAGATTGGTTGATGTCTTGGGCAGTTTCAAAATAATATTTTTTAACCCAATTTTTTTCAGGGGAGTTTGGAGTTTGAGAAGTGGTAATTTGTACAGGGTGATTGTGTTGGACAGGTAGCCACTAGAGCAGGTTTGACTGTAGATGTATTTACACCCCCATCGACACTATTTAGAACATTTAGGAGCGGGCTTCGATCCTGCCTGTTAGGGCCGATCCGAGCTGGGATGGATACAACTTCCAAGTAGACAGACTGAGGTACCCGGTGAAGATTCTCCCCACACGGGAATCGACCTTAGGTCTTCTGCGTGCGACAGTGAAGCGCCTGGCCGCTACACCACAAACGCTAGTGTAAAGTCCTTTCTGGCCCCTAGACCTTATAAAATGGGAAAAATAACGCGGTAATCTCACTTGGAAACTAGAACTTTTATAACTTCGTCTATGTCTCTTTCTCACTTTTGATTTCATTTGAAAATAGGCACAACGTGATATACTCCTAACTTAACAAATTTCAATGCGCTTTTTTTCTCTGTCCCACTTGTTTGTATTTCTCTATTCTCATGTCTCTGTTACTTTCATTTCCACATCGCTTCAAACTCTCTCATCTCTAGTAACACCTCTATTTGTGTTGCAGGTGCCATAAAACTCTAAATGAAAAAGAAAAGAAAAAAGAGCTGATCGCTCAATGTTATCTGCATAGGTCGAAAATCGCGTAGGCCTACGTCAATTGACTTCACATTATATTAACTCTACAGGTAGTACATCACATAATTGAAAATGTGGAATTTTGTTCAGAAGCATAACTTTTATACATAAGAGCTCCTCTCACTATTCTCCAGGTTCGATATTGCCAGAGAAATCCAGAAACTGAAAGCCATCGCTATGCCAAAGCATGCCAAAGATCTTTTCCACGGGAGAGGTATTCATTTACCTAAGTAAGTCTGGGACAAGCTATAGATTATACTTTTTATACCATTACATCAACACTTCTTAAATGGTTATGTTCAGTTAAAATACTGTTTTTACCATATTTATCTTCAAACTCGATATTAAAGACCGATGTCGTTGTTACTGCTGTTATTGTTGTTGTTGTTGTTGTTGTTGTTGTTTTTGTTGTTGTTGTTGTTGTTGATGCTGTTATTGTTGATGATGATGTTGTTTCTCTTATTGTTGATGATGATGATGTTGTTGTTTTTATTATCATTGTTGTTGTTATTGTTGTTGTTATTGTTGATAATATTGTTCTTGTTGATGATGTTGATGTCTTAGTACTCATTGTTGTTTCTGACCTTGTTATTACTTTGCCACTATTTTATAGTTTTGTTATGTTTTTAAATCATGTTTCTGATGAAGCCCGTATACACGAAATATTGAGCTACACTTTATTTTTTTTTATATTCTTTAAGATGCCTCCTCGTATATCCAAGTTTTTCCCTATCAACGATGATGATGATGATGATGAATATGATGATGATGATGATGATGATGATGATGATGATGATGATGATGATGATGATGATGATGATGATGATGATGATGATGATGATGATGATGATGG